TAATTATTGTTAGCTTGCACACCACTTGTTTTGTCCCTAAAACACCAATTTGATCCCCCAACCAACTTTGTGTTTTTGCTATTTTCATGTCTTTAATTAACCCAAATTTTTAGGCCACCAAACTTTCAAAGACCATAATTATTAAGTATACAAAGGAGAAATAGCTTTACTAAATAAATAATAATATAATCCTAAACACCCCCTTTGACTTTATGATCTTCAAATAAAGTAAAAATGCCCTCACTTTTCTTTATCTCATTGTTGACTGTCAAACCTTGTTTTCTAACACAAAATTAATAACTAAACTATAAATTTATATTGCATAATGCAACACGTTTTACAAGTAGAGATCAATGGGCCAATTGTATAGAGACACAAATAAACATCTTTAATTTTTGTAGTATTGCATAGTGGGACACCTGTCAGGATTAAAATGAATTTTGATAAGATTCATGACCAAAATTAATGATGAAATAAAAAAAAAAAAATGTGCAATAAAAAAAGATGAGAGTCAAAAGAGGTGGGCCTTTATTAAAGAGAAGAAAAAAGATGAGGGACCATTTAGCATGAAAGGCATATTCTAGTGGTAGCACTAATATTATGCCAAATTGTTTTTTATATTTTGTGTGAATTTGAAGTCAAATTAGTATGATTCTTTTATTGGTTATTATATTATACAACAAATGGTAACATGACACTTACTGATTATAAAGATTTATCAATCAATTTTTAAACTTCTCCCCAAAGTACCAATCTCTATCCAACTTACCCTAAAAAACAGATGAAAATGGACTTATTGTTATCAAATAAATATATCTTATTTTAAGATATAAATGCTTCATTCGATTTCCAACTTGTTCCACTCTCATTTTTAGACTCATTAAGAAAAATAGTTTAATAAAATTCATAATGTAGAAGTTATATTTATAATGTTCCTACTACTTTCTTGTGTACGTATACACATTTGCTTTTGGCATATCCACTTATCATTTTATAATAAAAAGTTTAGATAGGTCCAATTAAATGGACCTGGAGATATATAATTTATAATTTTTAAAATAAATTGTACGTAATTGATTATTACATAATACTATGGAATCTGAATTAACTTACTGCCCAATTTATTTTACTGGTCAATCATGTAAGTATAAATCATTGTGCAAATTTGAGTTCAAACAAAAGCTACCTAATCTTATAGTCCAAATGTATGACAAAAATATCAATGGTCAACGCGTATTTTATTTTCATTGGACCTCACCCATTTCATTCTCCTTTATCTTTCCACAGGGAACTATAATTACCTAAATGTCCTTTATTTTTCTTAAGGTCAAACTAGTAAACCAAAAATTCAACTTTTAGTTTTATTTTGTCAAATGTTAAGTTCTAATTTCAGAATTACAACTTCTTTTGCTTTTTTCTAGCGCTGTTTAAAATTTTTAATCTTTACTTGTAATTGTCAACTGTTGTTGTAACTTGTAATAATCTTGATTAATTGGAGCAAATTAACATGACAAATGTGAGGACTCTGAATAAAAGTTGCATGGCCAAAAATTTGTGGTCTCTTTTTGAACAAAAAAACACATTTGCTATATAAGCTTCTCTAAAATCTTCATCTAACAGGACTATTAGACTATGTATATATACTCCAAAAGACNCCATTCGCCCAACCCGCGAATGTGCTAACACAGCTCGAAAAATCATTATTACAAAATTATTTCAGTATATACAAAGTTACATTAAGAAAAAAAATAATAAATTTATCGACGCCCGTTTGCCCAGTTCCGGTTATTGTGGTTGCCGGGCCTCATTTGTTGATTCCTTTGAACAACACTCTGTTTCGGGAGGTCGCGCAATTCCACGACTTGTATCGTTCGTTGCTTTTTGGCTGTTAAAAGTTTAAAATCACATCACATTATTAGATAAAAAAAAAAACAGTTAAAATTACGACGCATTTGCTTATAGTACATTAAACCAATTATTAGAAGTTCATCAAGAAACGAACCATTCTCGGCTTCTTGGTACCGTTCTTGCAGTTTCCTCTTGGCCGCCTCGAGTTTCATGTGAACCGAAGCTTCGTTTTCACAATTTAGCTTCTGATAGAAAATAATAACAAACACTATTAATAAATAATAAACAAATTAGCCAATGATGAGTATTAGTAAGATATGATATTGGCTAAATTGCATTTTTAGTCTTGTTGGTTTAACACCATAGCAATTTTAGTCTCCAATTTCTAATATTTCGCCCTATGATTTAATATTTTGCTGCAATTTCAGTCCGAGAACTGCAACAAATTCCCAAAATTATATCCTTGGGATGAATTTTTTATTAGCAATCTAAGTCCTGTAATTTAAAATTTTGTTGCAATTTAAGTCTTCAAAGGACTAAAAATTGCATCAAAATATTAAAATCACAGGACTAAAAGGCGAAAAGTTGAAACTTTAGGACTAAAATTGCTATGACGTCAAATCAACGGGACTAAAAATGCATTTTTGCCTACGATATTTATCTATGTTGCAATGTTCACCTCCTTTTGAGTCGGCATGGGCTTCTTCTTAACCGAACCCGTTTCAAATTTTTGTTGGGACTTAGGTCTACCTGGGCCCGATTCGTAGTTAGATGGTTTCGCCAAACCCGGCCCACGTTGGCTGCCGAGTGGCCTGCTCGGTTTAGGAAGAGCTTGTTCTTGCGATGGTTTTTTCAACACAGTCTCTCGATTTCTGCACTGTTCGTTTTTCGGCACGCAAACGCGCGTTTTCTCGACATTTAGCTTATTTCTACCGTTTTCTCGGTTATTGTTTAATTCCCCACAGTTACGAGGATCTGAAAAAAGGCGTAAACAATTTCTGCTNCAAAAAAAAAAAAAAAAATCAACTAAATAACCGAATAGTAAAAATCCAATGTGAGGACTAAGGAAGAAAACTCACTTCCATCGTCATCCATGCCGTCAAAGAACTTCAATCGCGATCGAGGAACAAAATATTAAACACAAAAGATCAGTTTTACGAGCAAATCAAGAACTTTTTTAAACAAAATAACAATTTTTCTTCATGTCGTAATATTTTATTATATATAAAAATATGGTACCTGTGAAAGCTCCATTGAAGTAGTAGTGAAAAAAGCTCCTTCATCTAAAGGAGGAGATGGCAGTCCTTCTTCTTCCTCTTCTTCTTCAACAACCGAAGTTTTCACAGATTCTGGTCGAATTTCGGCATCTGTGAAAATATAGGAAATTTATTAAATCTTTTATATATATAACTTTAAGTATGCTTGATTTTTCGAGCGAAAAAATCTACCTGCAATGGCTTTTGTAGCATCAACCCACGAATCAACCATTATTTTCCATTCCCTGCATTATTCAGATCAAACGGCTCAAAACATAAGCAACTACATTTTAACTCGATTTTTTTTTTTTAATAAATGGAAACAATTGTTAATAAAATGATTATTCTAAACTATCTAAATAACACAATCAATTGATATTAACTAAGTAAATTCAGCTCCGAAAGGCAAAACAATCGGTTTAAGACGTACTCTATTAATGACCGAGCAAGATTTCGAATTTCAGCTGATCCATGTTTCCGCATGATATTAACTGATTTACCAATCTCTGTAGCCTGAAAATCGAACACGAATAAATAGGAAATTAGAATTACTAAACAAAAGAGAAGGACTTTTAAGACATAAAATGCAGTTTTTCGAACCTTGAGAGTCTCCACAGACAGAGGCATAAGCTGAAGCTTCCTCAGTGAATCAAACAAAAACGAATCAGACTGCAAGGAAGAAGCAATACAGCTAATTAACAATCAAAACCACAGATATTTTAACAGACATAGCTAAAAAATAAATCCTCAACAAAACAGGTAAAAGCCCCAATACATAAATTCATTTACATAGAAAAGCTAGCTTGCTGCAAAAAAATAGCTTATAGATGGGAAAAAATGGTAACAAACTAACTTAAAGAGACTCAAACTTCTAAAACTAACTTAAAGAACCTCTAAACAAACAAAGTAAACAGACATAGCTAGAAAAACTAATCCTCAACACAATNATGGGAAGAAGTGGTAACAAACTAACTAAAAGAGCCTCAATTTTCTAAAACTAACTTAAAGCGCCTCAATCTAAACAAACAAATTAAACAGATATTGGCTAAAAAACTAATCCTCAACAAACAGCTAAAAGCCGACAAAAAAATCATTTACACAGAAAAGCTAGCTTGCTGCAAAAATTAGCTTATATATTGGAGAAAATTGTAACAAAACTAACTTAAAGAGCCTCAATCTTCTAAAACTAACTTAAAGAGCCTCAATCTAAACAAACAAAGTAAGGAAAGAAAAGAAAATCAAAATCTTTCCACACAAGCCAAGACAACAAAGCATGACAAGCAAAATAATCAATCATCAATTAACATCAAAACATAAGCACACAAACAAACAAACAAACCTCTTCTTTATGATTATCAAGAACTTCCTTAATCCTCAAAACCTCCCCATAAAACTGAGATTCCTCCTCAATTTCATCATTTAATGCCTCAACATCACCATAACTATCATCCCTAACCCGATTCATATTCATCTCCATAACCTCCCTGTGATTAACATCATCACAGTCATCACCATCGTCAATACAACATCTGTCACTGCTGTTCACTTTACTCTCCTTCGTGTCCTTACTCCCGCCGGCCTCAACCCCACTCTTGTACTTATCCTCGCTTTTCTCCGGCCAGCCGCCGCCGGGAATCGCCAGCTCCAACCTCTCGCACCCAAAACACCTCGTGATTTTGCAGGCGAAGAGCAACTCCGCTATACGATCCCTCTTCAGCTTGAAGTCATACGGACAATCGGAGGCGGCCACCATTATCGCCTTCTCGATTATGTCGAAGATGTCCGAATTCGCCGTACGGAAATAGTCCCTCCATTTGTCGAGGCTTGAGAAAGAAGTGTTCTTGGCCATAGTGAATTAAAAAGAAAAATANTTTTTTATTCACCGACTGACAACGGAAAAATCAACCGGTGCCCGGATTAAAAAAAAAACGTTTGGTTCAACACGGGCACGAATAAAAATGCGATCTTTGATGGTAAAATCAGGCAAAATTGAAGCTCGAGGGTTGAATAAAGTTTGGTGCCTTTGTGTTCTTGTATCTGTTTTTGACCAAGTATGTTCAGATGGGCTGATGGAAAGGATATAAAAAAAAAGATGGACAAAAAGTAAAAAAATAAGAAAAAATGTGCTTTATTGTGAAGATAAGAACACCATGAAAAAAGGAAGTAGTAATCTTGGACTGTGTAATAATTCAAGAATAGGGACGATGAACAAAAAGTGTGAATTTTTTTTTTTCCTGCGCAGAAAATTCAATTCAATGGAAGAAAATGAGAGGGTTTATGCAGAGTATCGACGAGAAATATGTCAAAAAGGGTAACGTGAGATATATACTCTCTCGGTATATTTTTTATTTTTTATTCGCTCTCTCTAGACACTGTCTTAACTCTTACCTAAACATTATCGGTAAAGAAGATTGAGTGAAACAATAATAATAATTATTATTATTATTATTATCAAATTTTGTTAGTGCCGACTATTTTATAGTGTTTCATAGTAACAATATTATTAATCTCCACCATTAGACGATAGAGTATTTTTACAACTATATATAATTTGATCAATATTATAAAATATAAATAGATGTATGATATATAATAATATAAGTATATTTTTGTTTCAAATAGTATGATGGGTCATCTCGTTTTACGATTAGATTTCCCTATAAACGGTTATGTGTAACTAAAACTAACGATTAGATAGTAATATTTCATTAACAAACTTACATATTTTAAAATTAAAATATCATATTTAAAAAATAAAGAAAAAATATGATATTTTATAGTGTATATGATGTTTTTATTAAAAAGGTACGCAAGTCGATTTGTCTAATAGTCAGATTACAGCAATAAAAAAAATAGTTTTTTTTATTTTATTTCATTTTTAATAAATATTGTGGGGGAAAAAATGGGAAAGATGATGATGAGCAGAAAGAAAACGGGTTCGAAGAAAGTTCAACTCTTTGTCTGTTTGCTTACGAGCACGTTTTTTTATGTCAAGAAAATACGACTCCGCTCTCAACACTATGATAAATTCGTATTCTTTTTTATTGTACCAAAAAAAAAAATCTTATTCTTTTTCCTATTATTATTATTATTATTATTATTATTATTATTATTATTATTATTATTATTATTATTATTATTNTTTTTTGGATTATTTTTTTTTTGTGTGATTAATACAAATAATTCAAGCTTACTCTCAACTTGATTTTTCTAAGATTTTGACCCACTTTTTGGGGCCACTAAGTAAAGATTTAATCAAAAAACAAATAAAATTCAAAGTTCTCGTTTAGAATTAGTTGTAAAATATGAAGGTAATACAAATTCTTGTGCTAATATGTACAACTTTTAAATGAAACGAGCTGCCGTAAACTCCAAAGGAGATGATCTTGACCTAATTTAAAAATCGTTAATTAATAAGTCGGACCATATTACTTGCAAAATATGATTTTGTATAATTTTTTTTTTCAGTTGACTGTACACATCGAGTGATATGATGTAACTATCTATCGAGTTGGGTCGATCCGTCATAAATTTTTAGCAAAAATATATATTTATACTATGAAACGTTTATATTTTTATTTATGTTACTTTTTAAAATATAATATTTTAATTAAAAAATATGCATATTTATTAAACAAGCATAACTGCTTAAACCACTCTCTCGGGTCCTTTGACTCTCATGTAATCTTCCTTGTTACGAGTAATATATATAATTTTTTCTAAACCCAATTATTCATATCATATATCGTATATGTATGTCATAAAATGGATATACATTACATTGCATACCTGATGTTTTGTAAACTAGTGTGTGCTGAAAAAATAATACTATTACGATTGTACAATATAAATTAAATTATAAATAACATTTATCATATTTATCATGAATAAAGTTGGTGAGGATGGAGTTTGTCGCTTTGTTGGGAAGGAGTTTGGTCGAATTTATGACTTTTTGGGCAAAAAGATGTTGAGATCTAGACTCACACGTGTCATCTTCACATGCAATCTCAGATTCTCAGACAGTTTTTTTTTAATAATAAAATTAGTTTTTTTGTTTTTTAACTTTTTAATCAAAGCGGTATATGAGAATACTCGGCGACCCGAACAACGGATGTCAAGGCAAGCAGTGAGTGGGACCACTGCATATAGTATATATTTATTATTTTTCTTTTCTGGAAATTCAAGAGACAGCATAGTCAAAGATAATAAAAAATATAATTTGAAAGACTTTGATCATTTTAAAAATAAAATTGTCAGCATAATCCATTGCAATTACTTAGGTATACTATATAATTAGTTCCACTAAATATGGAATTTATTTGGTTTTTGATCTCCATAATCCGGACATAAATAAATGGAAAGTCTTCACGCTTAATGAATAAAATCAATTGTACTATTAAAAGAATATATGGACTCAATTGTGTTAAGAAATTCAATTGAATTGAATCTCATTTAGATGTTTGGTCGATTAGTTCGTTAAGTAATTTTTTTGGTAAAAACGTTTCATTAGTTTTTTTGTTGTTTTATACAAAATGTTAATTCTTATAAATAGAACAATCTTTTAGGTAGAAAGAATTCATGAAATAATAAAATGATATAAATTTTTTAAAATAACTACACAAAGTGCTATTCAGCAAATACTTACACACAAACCCATAAAATTCTTAAATATAACTATGAAAATTGTTATTCATCACTAAATAAACGTCTAATATAGTCTGCTAGTTAATATTATTAGTATTATTATTAATATTATTATTATTTATTATTATTATTATAATTTGTTTTTTACATTGGTGTGACGTGTCCAATTAATGTACGTTAGTGAGTGCAAAGTAAGCAGGTGGCGAGTGGATGCCTCATTCGATGCTCACCTTATCCTCTTCTATATCTAATCCAAAATCTATTATTTTATATTATTAATTATTGCGAATTTATTTTTAAAAGTTATTAACAGAACATATTCCAGTATTATCTTTTATTTATTTATTTTTTGGCCATACCTTTTATTTTTTTATTTAAATACGATATTTGAAATTCAATTATATATAAACTTTTTATAAACGAACCATAAACAAAAAATAAATCAATTTCAAAATTAATAACTAGAATAAACTACAAATCAATTATCATATATTATAAAAGTTAGAATAATTATAATAAAACTAAAAATTGCCAATGTACAAATGAAAAGGGATTTATAGATCAATTAACTGTCCAAAATGGCCCAAGCATTGATATTTCATTTACTGGTTAGTTACTCGCTCAGCCCAATAGACTAGCCTTTGATTTTAGAGAAATAACATCAACAAACAAATCTACTAAGTAATGGGCTTAATAGGCCCAACAAAGGATGTCACCATATATCCAACATAGAAGGGCAGCAAGCCCACGTGCTGTCTCTCCATCTCTCAGTGTTCTTGTAAGCTTTATTTCGAAATTAGAATTTTAGAACTAACCCATTAAAGCACATACTTAGACTCAAATAATAAATATATAAAAAGAGTCGAAACAAATAAAAGTAAATGTTTTTACTTTAATTTTACATACCTTTTTACTAATAACATTGTTAGTTTACAAGTGACCTATATTGCTTCACAATGTGTCGTGTTTTGTCGTGTCATTTATCTTTAAAATCATATATTCTAATCGTGTTCATGTTTCGTGTCGTTTTAGCAATTGTCATACACATATACACATATATATGTCAATAGGACAAATTCGAACTTTAAGGCCAAATTGCACAAAATTTAATAACATTACTTTGACAATTATGATTTAAGATTATGAGTGCATAAAAGTGTTACTAGATTTAATTCAATGAACTTAATCCCAACAAATCAAACAGTAAAATTGACCTAGGCGTGCATGGACTTGCTTTTACATGAGTAGATATCATATAATGCATGGAAAAAGGTGATAATTAACAACAATTTGACACAAGCTAATTGAGTTTTAACTTTAATTATATCCTACAACTGTGTGGTTAAATATTAGTTCCAAATTAATTAGGTTGTCCCAATTCTGTTAAATCAAGTGAGATAATCAACCTTTTTATCATAACAATTTATTGTGAGACGGTTCAACCGTTAAACGGATCGACCCGTCATACTATTTTAACAAATATATAAATGCATACTTATATATTGTCTTTTATTGTATTATTTTTAATTTTGTGAAAAACGAGGGATTAATGTATTAATATAAATATATTAGAGTCCTATGGGTTGAATTTAGTCAATATTTGTACTTGCTCACAACAAAGCTTAAAATATAAACTTAAAAAAGGCTAAAAAAATGTTTTTTTAGTTAAAATATGACTGTCCAGTGTCCACAATCTAATGTGTGCACTATAATTTTTCAGCATGAGAAAGGAAATAGAGAGACAAAATCATTCCTAACAAGAAAAGAAAAAAAAGTGATCAGTGTGTGTGTAAATGCTGATATTCCTCTATTCCATCTATTGTGGCCCCTCATTAAACCCTTTTATTTGATTTAGTCTTTCATCAAATGATTATATGACCAAATTTATTGTTTAGGCAGAGAAAAATAAAAGTTCTAAGAGGCATATTTAATTTTCTTCTTGATACAAAACAGGAATAAGCTTCAACAAAAATATATATTTCCCAAGAAAAAATAAAAACAAGAAAAGAAGAAAGAAAATGAAAATGGTAAATCTTATTCGAAATGACATCAATAACTGTAAGTCTGTAAATATATATATAATAAAAACATTTTTGGTATGTCAACATTGAAATTGAGACTTAATTTAGACCAATTTCAACATATAAGAACAACTATAAACTAAAATGAATAATACTACTACTATTTAGCTTCTTTCTCTGAAATATATAGTCTAGAAGTAAGTGGCATAAAGTTTTCAAAAAGATACAATTTCCAAAAAGCAGACTTTCCTCAACAACAAAATAGAAACTCTCCAACAAACCAAAGAAAAAAAAAAAGCCAAGAAAATGATTGATCTCACATGTAGGGATGAAAACGATCGGGAACGATCGGCATAGGGCTCAACCATTTCCACTTTCATATATTTTTCTCGAAAACGAAAATGATACGATAATGTCGGAAACGAAAACGACATTGGTATTCCGGTAATATCGAAAACGAAACTATCCGATCGAAAATACATCGATAACGATCGAAATATATTAAAACGGTATTTAAAAAACGATAAACACACCACATTATAAAATATAGCATTAAAACATAAATTGAAATATTATCACGGCATAATAGTGGCAAAATCCAAATTAAAATCCAC